CCCCCCCCAAAAAAAAACAAATTTCAACTGTCTAAGAACTAATCTAAAAAAAGACACCCAAAAAGGAGGAAAAAAACCCCCCTAAAATGTGACATTAAATAAAAGATGCAAACGTAAAAATTCCAAAAAAGACGGGACTCTGACATGCACTAGGAGTTCCTCCTCAGATCAACCACGACAACGCTGACGTTGTCCGAACTCCGCCTCGCCAGGGCTAGTTTAGTCAAAAGCATAGACGCATCGGAGCAACTCTGGTCGGGATTCTCCCCGCCGGCTACATTTTCCGGCATAGATGCCGCCGCAGTCGATACAGGTGCCTTCCCTTTCAGGCACATTCCGGCAACGCCGCATGCAGTATCGTTTGACACTACATCCCACAATCCGTCGCTTGCCAGAATTAAACAGTCATCTTCCGCCGTTCGATCCGTTATTGTCACCTCTGGCTCGCATATCACATACGGCTTCAAATAGTTATCACCTGCATATCATGAACAATCACGCAACTTCAGGATACTCTTAACTAAGAGGAAAGCAGCCCGATATATCTACCGACTTACAATTATAATCTGTCAATATGATAAATTTTTTCCACTTACCAATGGCTCTTGACATAGCCAAAACGCCTGAAACGCGAGGACCATCCCAATAAATTACTCTGCCACCAGCTTCTTGAATCCGGTTTAGCTCATCTGGACGATCCGGCTGCAACATATACCCATAAATTAATTAATTACTAGTTGACAGAAAAATAATCAAAGCTTCTTGCTTATCATCACAAATTTATTTGTATATTGTGGATTAGGGAAAAGAACTAAAGAGAATTACCTTTTGATCGTTAGAGAGAGGGATGGCTTTGCCATTTCGGCAAAGAACAGCTCTAGAATCGCCACAATTGGCAACGATAATCTTATCGGCCGTTACAACAGCAACTACCGCCGTTGAACCGACGGCGTCACATTCCGGCGTATGAAGCTCGCACCGACACGTGGCACGGATCATGCTCTTGTTCCATGCAATTACTTCCTTGTCCATACGATTAAAGCTTCGGTCCATTGCAAGCTCCCACTCGTCATTTCCTTCGTTATTTTCCAGCTCTTCTTTCACCAGCTCGTGTAATCGCTCTTCACACTTCGTCGCAACCTACAAAATCACACAAATATCATAAGAATTCGACTTTTACATACTCATAAAATAATCTTTACACGATAATTGTGCATGATTTAAGAACTCAATACCTGAAAAATAAGTCGGTGACATACAACTAGTGCTACAACTAGAGCCATATATGCACATATAGCATGTAAATTTGAACCTAACATTTTCGACACCAAATTACAACCAGTATTAAATTATGAACTCATAATTTTAAAAGTATAACATATTCACTGTTAAAAATTTAAAGATTGAATTCTTCAATTTTAAATTTTGAATAGATCAATACGTACCGATCTATGATACTATTTTTTTTTTAAATTGTTACTTGGTACATACTAGAAGTTAAATCAATAAAGATAGCACACGGGCACATTTGATAATCTCCGGAAACTTCATAGAAAAGAGAAAGATGAGAATTTTGGTTGTTAACGTACATGAGAACATCCATGACCATCATATACGGCAAAGTAATGCAATTCTGCACTGTTTTCCTGTTTCATTTGGCAAAAAGATGGATGAATCGCCACCGCATCTTCCATATCTCTCCTCCGTCCACAAACTGAGGCGAACCCGAATTTTGGACTCGCCACTGACTGAACAAGAAGAGTCGAATTATTCAAAGGACTCAAAATTGGAGCCAAAATAATAGTTGGCGGTGACCCTTTAGTCACTAATCTCACTTGGTCTTCATCGTCGGTGCTAGAATTGTCTACAGCGTTATCACAGAATCTTGAAACAGAGGTGGAACAAAGCTCTAATTTTGGACGTTTAATTATTCCGTTCTCTGTTTCTGGTGGAGTTACACCGGCAATAAATTTTAACTTGCGGAGCTCCATTCTCCTCCGCCTCGACGCCCGTGAACTTGACTCGCACGGCGGCGATGCCTCGGTTTCAGTGACTACTCCAGAGCAGACCTCTGCCATTCACTTCTATAACAACCCTTTAAATATGCTTCACTTTCACAAGTTATATGGAGGGTCAATCTAAAGAAGCCGCCTTCAATTTCAAGAATCCAACCCAGAAATATACCCAATTTACAGAACAAATTGCCACGACCAATAAGCACAGAAAGCGAAGAAATGAAACGAAAGAGAATAGAAATAGAAATAAATATTGCCAAGGCAAGAAGACCGACGTATCTAATAAAGGAAAATCTAGTACAGTATTTGATTTCATGTGACTCGACGTGGCACTATTTTAGTTTTTCTAAACAAAATAAAAATAATTATTCTTTAAAATATTATTTTCTATATCTATTAAATTTTGAATAAATTTCTTTTACAAAAATAACATAAAATGTTTAACACCGTAACTCAAAATCAAATTATTCTGAAATTATAATTTATAACTAGGATCATAATCCTTAAACTATAATTAGGATAAATAATTCTACCTTCAATATGTAATTGATAATCTCACAATTGTAATTTAAAATGTATCCTAGTTTTAACTACTGCCATCAATTAAATACAGAAAAATAGAAACGAACAAATTGAAAGGAAGAGATCATTAATTAATATTATTATTGTTATTTGTTCTGATAAAAGCTTCTTGTTCTACCATTGCATTTGGTTGTTTGTACGTAGATACAATGTGATACATTTTAATTGTTTTTTTTTTCTTTTTAATATATATTAAGGAATTCATATTTTAATATTAATCAATAATAAATTGATCATATTAACCTTAATTTATTTTTTGAATCTATAACAAATACTTCTAAGTTTTTTACTTTAATGATAATTTTGAAAAAAAAAAGTTAAATCTATTTTTATATATGTAAAATTAAATATTATAGGTCATAAATAGTCAAAAAAAATCAATTTAAATGGATGATTACTCTGAACATCGGGTATACAATTCATGTTTTAAGTGCATGCCCGCCTAAACCAAGGAATTTGTGCCGCATAGTATCCCCTACGATTACACTTATCGTTTCAAATGTAACACGTGTACTAGGAAGCCTACCAAAAAAGTTGTCTAAGCATAAGGCAACACGAAATGTGGCATGATGCTTTCCGACACGTTACTGAATTTTCAAAGACAAGTGTGTTGTGTTGTCCGCCTCAGTTTGTTAAGACCTAACCTTTTATCATATGTTAATTTGATTAATATATTAAACTAAGCTAAATTTCACAATATTGAAATAGTATTTTACTTGTTTTATTTTTTATTACGGTGCATGATTGAACAAATATCGCGAGAAAGCACCTTTAGAACCTTTTTTTATTTTATTTTTTTTAGAAGAACTAGCAGAAAGTGTAAGGAGTACAAAAATGAAAGAAAGGAAATTTCTTTAGACAAAACGTATCAAACATTTTGGAAATAAGGGACACGTGTATGGATAGTGGAGTAAGAAATGAGTAATTGAAGTCTTTAGGTCCACTGAAAGAGGTAAAGATAGCAGGTTGCGACGTTGACGGGTGGGACGACCTGTCTCCTTCACACTCGCGCTCGCCAAATTTGAACATACTCGCAACATTTTTGAAGGTTTCTTACTTCTTCTTCTTTTTTTTTTTTTTTACGATCAATTTCGAGGATATAGATTTTGGGTAATTTTGTTCATCAAAATATACAAAAAGAAATCATAATATCTTTTTTCTTTAAACTGTAATTTTGAAATTGTATCATTTTTAACTCACTTCGTTAACTCATCTTTGAAAATTTAAACAATTACTATATTAATTAATACTCAATCTTATTCAATTTAAACGATACACTTTTTTTTATTAGTTTATTCCAAAAGGAACGATACATTTTTATATTAAAAAATAATTTAATTTTAAAATTTTTATTCTACCTACTATTCCTAACGAGAAGCTTTTATAACTACAAAAATATCACGATCTCATTAAGCTTTTAGAATCACATATTTCAAAAGTTTTTTTTTCTTTAAACTTTTTGTCAAGTCAAACTATATTATTTAAATTAGAACGTAGGGGAGTATTTTATATATATATATATACACGTTTCAATTTATGTGAACTCATTTGACTGCCACGGAGTTTAAGAAAAGAGAGAAGACTTTTGAACTTGTGGTGTAAAATGAGGCACATATATTTTGTATGGTTATAAATCATTGAATAAAGGTAAATTATTTCCAAATAGAAAAAGATGTCATTCTTTTTGGTACGGACTAAAAAGGAAATAGATTCACATAAATTGAAACAGATGGAGTATTAGTTTTCTACTCCCTCCGTTTTAATTTATGTGAACTTATTTTCTTTTTAGTCCGTGCCAAAAAGGATGACATATTTCCCTATTTGAAAATAATTTACCTTTATGTAATGATTTATAGCCATATAAAATATATGTGCCTTATTTTATATTATAAATTCAAAAATCTTTTTTTTTTTCTTAAATTTTATACCCAATCGAATAAGTTAATATAAATTAAACTAGAGGGAGTATTATATATTTTGTAAATATCTAACTAAAGTACTGTTATTCTTCCACGGACTTTAGTGCAACAAACCCGAAATTTGCTATGCTGAAACAATGCAAAACCGTCCACGTATCCATTATTCCTGCTGGCGAGCAATTCCGCTGTTTCTTTTCTGCTCTACGTACTGAGTATGAAAGTTGCAGTTTGATAGTGACACTCCATCCGATATATCGCCACGTTTCTCATTCCAACAATCCATTGTCGATTCAGCATCAGATCTTTCTCCCACTATTACTGACTCCGTAAACTTATTTTCTTTTTGATTCGTTTAAAAAAAAAATAATTTTTTTTAAATTTAAAAATAAATTTATTTAAACTTATAATTTTATCCTTAATAAAAAAAATTTATAATTATACAAATACTTTGAACACTTTTTAAAATTGTTTAAGACTATAAATTTTAAATTTTATTTTATTTTTTTTTAAATTTCGTGTCCAATCAGTTCAGGTTCGCATGAATTAAAACGGGCTGAGTATTAATTTTTCACAGCTTTACTACTATAGGAATAGGAATTGTAATGGCCCCCTTCCGTTTAATTACAGCAACCCGCCAAGTAACTGCCCTGTACCCAACTCATAACTTGGGTTTTGTCACCTAAAGAAATGTTGCTTAATTAGTGCCAAGAGAAGAAGAGTCTGAATTAAAGGTGAGGACACGTGTTGAAAGAATTTAGGGTTTAGGCAGCATGGCATGAGGAATAGAAAGAAAAAGGATAGTCTGGAATGCCGATGACGGAAATCTAACTTCGATTGCATATAGGTGTTCGTAACACGCAGCGGAAAATAATAACAATATTACGAAATTTTTTTTATATTTATAATTTATTTACATGTCAAAGTTCGGATGTGAGATGTACCTAGTAAAGAGAATTTCTGTAACGACCTGGCCGGTCGTTTTAAGAGTTGTAGTCTCATTCTACTGCTCATTTTATGTTTATTAGTTGCTATGTGATTGGTTGGGATAGTTGGTTCGGGTCCCGAGAGGCTTCGAAATGAGATGAGACACTTAGTCTCAAGGGTGGAGGTTTAAGTTAAAAAGGTTGATCAAATATTGACTGTAGCGTTGTTTGATGTGATTTGAAGGCTCGACTATGTTTGTATCGTATTTTAGGACTTGTTGGTATATCTAGTCGAGGTTCCGGGAGCCTCGGGTGGAGTTCAGGTGATTAACATATCAAGGTTTGGAGTTAAGGAGTTGCTGAAGTTGGGAGTCTTTTGGTGCAATCGCACCTGCGAGTTGGGAAGCGCAGATGCGGACATGAGAAAGGAGTGCAATGGTCGCAGGTGTTAAGGTTTGACTGCAGCTGCGTGGTTGCAGATGCGGTGAGGTTGAGCGTAGAAGTGAGGGGGAAGCGTAGGAGCAGAAGCAAGTCGCACCTGCATGGGCGCAGAAGCGGAGAATGTTTTCGCATGTGCGATGGTCTGTCCCCAGTGAATTACCGTAGAAGCGAGAGAGTTGTCGCTTCCGTGAAGCCGCAGGTGCGGGTAAGTTGCCTCATGTGCGAGGAAGCCTGGGCAGAATATAATCGTTGGGCTCTGAGGGTTTTATCATTTCTTGACTTTGCAAACTCGGATTAGGGCGATTTTTTAGAGGGATTTCGAAGGGATTCTTGAGGTAAGTTACTTGTGGTTATTTTTATTCAATAATTATGTTTCCCCATTGAATTTTCCACATAGATTGTGTGGTTTTGAGGTGTAATTTTGGGAGTTTGAGGCTAGGTATTTGGAGAGTTCAAATTGGGGATTTGAGTGATGATTTGGTGTTGGATTTTGGTAAATTTGGTATGATTAGAATCGTAGTTGAATGGGCTTCCAAATTTTGTGACTTTTGTTGGGTTCTGAGGCATGGGCCCGGAGGCCAACTTTTGAGTTGACTTTTGACTAAGAACTTAGTATTTTTTTTATGAAATTGATTCCTTTAGCTTGTGTTGATTGTATCGAACTGTTTGTGGCTAGGTTCGAGGCATTTGGAGGCCATTTCGCGAGGCAAGGGCTTGTTGGAGTAGAGTTTCGCACAGTTTGAGGTAAGTAGTACTTCTAAACGTGGTTCTGAGGGTAAGAAACCTCAAATTTTGTGTTATATGATTGGTGTTGAGGTGACGCATGTGCTAGGTAGCGGGCAGGTAACGTGCACCCTAAGAATTGTGACTCGGTCGATTCCATGAAACTGAATAGTTGATTAATCTTACTATTATCCGTATTTTTACCATGTGTTAGAGCTATTGAGCTGTCATTCATGTTAGAAATCCTACTTAGGCTACATGTTGGTACTGTTGGGCCCTTAGAAGTCGTGTTACATGGTAAATTATTTGCGCTAATTGCCATTTGTACTTTGTTACAACTGTTATTTGCATATTATGTCTCGGTATATGTTGTCATTTACTTGATACATCATATCATTATTGTTTGGAATGAATAACATGATTCTGGTGAGCCCGAGAGAGTGGAGAGATTAGTGACTGAGTGAGACTAAGGGTCTATTATGAGTGATATTTATGGAATCGGGCTGCACGCCGCGTCAGACCTTATTAATTCATGCCAGGATTTGGCTTATTATAGCGCTTGGGCTGGATCGGCCCCTCCGGAGTCTGCACATCCATAGTGGGCGCAATTGCTAGCAGTTATTTACATTTGGGCTGGATCTACCCTGGTTTGTTTGC